TCCCAGCCCTACCTGGCAGTGTATTTCCCCTCTCGGTAATTAAATTCGAATCGGAATTCTGGTTTGTGATCTTCATTAGATTGTGCGATTGGAAGATGAGTTTGATTTGGAATTGCCTGTTGTGTCGTCTGTATGGAATGTTTAGGGATAGGTGGAGATTACATTGTTTGGTGGAGACCCTTTTCGTCTGAAGCAGGGTTATCTAGAACTGACTAATTGTGCTCATAAGCACTAGTTTTGGTTTCACTAATAAGAGCTTGCGACCTTGCTGCTTTGAAATAGAGAAACCGGTCATGAGTCATGGAGTTGCTTTAGGGTGGTGGTGCTGCCGCTTTGCCTCCTAAAAAAAGCATGTTCCCTTTCTCTTAACTGCTCCATTGGATCCACTCACAGATCCTCTACTCTGGACATCCTTTCTGGTTTATAGAATCATCGTATTTACAGAATTTTTTTTAATTAATTAGCATTTTTAATTGTTACCTACTAAAGTTAAAAATACAAGTAAACAAAATGAATGTAAATTTGTAGCTTTATAGCTTTACAAGAGATCGACGAACACAGTCTTATGTGGCAAGAGGTTTTCCATCTTGGTTAAATGATGTTTTTGTAAGTGAAAAAGCTCTCTCATCTGTTGCTAGTTTTAATTGATATATGATATTTGTATGCTAAACTTATGGTTTCGTTGTCTATCTTGATTGAAGAAGGTTGTGTCCATCTTCAGTTCTCGGTTATGTATTTGTTCAGGTTGTAATATTGGTTCAGGTTGTAATATGGACTTTGGTCCTTACTTTTAATAAAAAGCTTTGCCAGAAACACTAATGATATTGGATTCAAAGGGTACAAAAGAAAAGAAAGGGCATCTTAACTTTCCTTGTAAGCTTCCAAATTGAAGTAAACTAATATCTGCAAAGTTATTTTATTGTGAATTAGACAATGCAGTAACATCCATCTAGGATGTCATTAGAATCACAAACTAACTCTCTCTTTCACTTTGGCCTCTGGAGAAAGAATCACAATCTACGTCTACTCTGTGGATCATCTGAGCTCGGGTTCAACTTGTCATCCTCAGCATGAGCACGTTTATTGCCTGAGGACCTGTTTCAATCATTGCCATTTTTGCATCACACATAAGGAATAAACTACAAGAGCAAGTAAACTGTAAACCTAGTACACGGGAACCTCCTGGTTCACGACTACACGTAATTTGTTCCATCCTTAGTTTCATGTTGATAAATTGGTACATTCTTTTAACACTAGCCTTCTTATGGAACATTCAGTTTTTTATTTTTTTAAGATGACGGACCAGAAGGATGTTTTCTATTCTGAGAGATGCATACCTCTGACTTGGATCCTTTTGGCTAGAATCTCCTGTATTTGTCAAGTAGTTTGAACTTGCCGCCAAGTATTGCTGTTCTGGGAGATTGAAAACTCTGCATTCCATATAGTATGAGTCCATTTAATCAAAGGTAGAGAGAAATAATCCTCAAAATGTGCAAGTAAACAAAGTCTGTCTAAGGTCTTACATGCACACTACTAGATGCTTTCTAACAACACAAAACCCAACCAGGAAAGAAAGCTAGCCACAGTAAGAGTTGCACATTCTTGAATCAAAGCCAGCAATCTAACTCAAAAAGGTATAAAAAGACAGTGGACAGACCTGGTACAGTGGGAGCAATAACCCCAGCTCTGGATAAGGCCCACTCCCCATCCACCACATCCTCTGCATTTTGGCAGCTGAGAGGGAGGATGCTCCCTCTTCTCATCAGCAGTATTTTGGGTGACAGCGTTGTTGGAGTTTGTGGTAGCGGGACCTGGAGGTTCAAACTGCAATACATGCGTCTTTGTGTTGTAATAATACATATGACCTGTGCATTAGGGATTAGGTGAAAAGCTCAGGATTGCAACCAAAACAGATCCAAAGTTAAGCAAGCATAGTGCAACCGAAATTAGAAGATGCAATTAAGGGAGCACAGACAACCAGCAGAAAAGTTGATGATTTCCCCTCTCCGCCACAATCAGAAAAGGTGAAAATTATTCCTTTATATGCATATGGAGCAAAGAGCTAGTCATAAATGTGCGGATCACATACCAGATGTTTCATCAAGTGACTCAATCCACTCTTCTTCAGGATCAGTATCAATCCACTCTTCTTCAGTGGTGGAAGATACCTCATGAGGTCTTTCCCACTGGCATGTAGCACCACTAGCCGGATCTTTCTCATCTACCTGAATGAAACAAACCAAGTTTAAGTGGCTTAACAACTAGTGTACACATTAAATTAATAATGATTATCAGTAGACTTTTGTTCAACAAAGAAAGTATGGTAAAATAATCATCACTTTCCAGGGTTTTGTTGATTTGCAGTTGCACTAAGCTTGGAACATATGAAGAAGAGCACACAAGTGGGACACAATATATGGGGAAAGAATCTCCACAAAGGTTAGGCTTCGGGATAGTTGTTGCTTCTCCAATATTGACAGAGTTGAAGTATCCATCTTGTCCAATGATGTAAGCTGTTTGGTAGCGGGTCATGGTCAGTTTACGTCCGTCAAGATCGAAAACCACAACGACTTTCTTCTCCTCGTCAATGAAGAAACTCGCAGCTTCAAGCATAAATGTAAAACCAGTGAGCGGACTCATATCCACTTTGAGAAACATGCTCCACGACACTGCATTGGGATCAATGTTATTCGTAACCCAACCTCCATTACCCGACTACCATCCCAAGGTTGTAATAAGGCAGCCAGCTTCTCATCTCTAACACAAGATAGAGTGACAGTCTCGTCGATATAAGAGTGAAACGGTAGAGGAAGACGAGGTCCAAATCTCTCAGCTGTAAAATCAAAGCAGAGTAAAAAATCTTCAGTCTCCGTTGTATCTATGGGTTCATCATCTCCTACTCCTTCCGGGACCACTAATCTCTGTTTAGCAAAAAAATAAGCATTCCCCTTGAGAGTCGCGCTGCGTTGATAAAACTCTATCTCCCAGTCTGGAGTGACTTGAAGAACCCTCCATAAGTTTGAGCTAAAATCGTAGATTTCGTACTCCACAAAGATGTCATGATCCACAAACCTCAAGATTATGTGGTTATGGTTAGAGTTGTTGTTGCCATAACCGAGAGCATATACGTCAAATCTATGGAAACTGGTTCTTGGTTTGATCCACAATGTTTGTCCCAGATAAGGATTCCACACCACGAGACTCGACTTGTCCTTGGTGACGCATAGCAATAAGCCGTCACAGTGAAAGATTTTAGATATCTCGACTTGGTTAAGCATACTTACTTGCTCTATAGATGGATCAACCAAGACTCCTTCGTTTTGGAATCCTTGAAGATCGAATCTCAAAGAACAAACCCTAAAATCCTTCATCATGAACCCCACAAACTCATTATTACTTGGTTTACCTCCAAAAATCCGACCTTCGGAGAGAGTCTCTTTTACCAATTTCTCCGGAAGATCGGATATCTTCGTCATCCCGATTGCTTTTCTCCGATCTTGAGACGAAGAGTGAAATCGGAAAAATCTGATCTCAACGATGGCTCAACTAATGGGTTATATTTTAATGGGCTTCGTAATATTTAGAATGGGCATTGTAAAATATGGGTTATTTAATAATGGACTACGTAATCTTTAGAGTGGGCATTGTATACTCTTGCTAGAATTTTTTTTTTTTTAAATGCAATTTTCAAATGTCACTATTTAAAAAATGCCATATTTTTAAAAAATTTGCAAATTATTTTTTCAAA